ACACACACACACACACACACACACACACACACACTCATCTTCCTAAGGTTAAGATGTTGGTTCACTGGGAATTTATCACTTAGAATTAATAATATGAACTATGTGATCAAAAGTATCCGGACACGCCCAAAATGCAATGTTTTCGTGTTTTTCATGAAGGGGGGTTTGCACCCCTTGTTGTTTTGTGTGGCACTATCACAGTTGAAGAGCAATTCAGGGATAGCGATTGCACCTTTCAACACGATCGAGCGCCTGTTCATACTGCTGGACCTGTGTCGGTGTGGTTACACGACAATAACATTCCTGCAATGGACTGGCCTGCACAGAGACCTATTGATCGAGATGAATCCTATCGAACACATTTGGAAATCTTTGATCTTTTAATGTTTTAAATTAAAAATTAAAATATAATTATAAAAAATAATTAAATTTTTACACGAATTAAGAGACATTACGATGATACATCTACAACTTTCATGTTTTAATTTATTAACCATTGCTTGCACGCCGTTACCCGGTATTTTAACCAATAATTTTTACTATTGTATAATTTTTTATAAATATTTTTACCAATATTTTGCGACCTGTGAAAAATTTTTATATAAGCAATATTATAGTGATATTGTCTAAAATATGTACTGATATTTGTTCACATCTACTCGTTTGACTCTAGATGAATATATCGCCCATGTTTTTACCCTGTGTGTTAAGAATATTGGCAACCCTACTTCTATCCAGGCCCGGCGGGTAATGTGGGTACGATGGGGAGCTATACCCACAGGAAAAATTCCGAGTAGGTATAATACCTGCTGGGAATTTGGGGTAAGAGAAATAATACATAAATGTCAAATTTCAGAAATGAACTAATTTTCTAGGTATTGCGTCGACTCAAAACGTTAATGCGATTAATTATTTTACAAGATCACCTCAACAGTTTTGAGATGTTAATATCGACATGACTGACAAAATCTATTTGAAAAAATTGTTAAATGACTATATAAAGTGCAAAGCGCAGCGTTGTTTTTGCAATGCAAAAATGGGCTGCTGAAGTTACATAAAATAAATGTCATAACAATTTGGTGACAATTTAACGATACGCATGACAGTTTCAAAACATTACATTTTGTATTTTTCCCTTCATATACATTTTCGGTGGGAGAAGGAGGGGGTAGGGGGGCCTCCCCGGGCCAACTACCCACTAAAACTTTCACACTAATCGCCGGCCCTGCTATCTGGCGCTCACCGACGTGCCCCAGCGCAGGCCCAAGCAGTACACTGTTGTAAATGAAAAGCACCATGTCCAACAGAAGGAAGAAGTCGCTCACTGCCAGGTTCAGCACGAGAATGTTGGCAGGAGTGCGAAGCGCCCGGGATCTGCAATGTTTACATACAAAATCTAAGAATACTGTTATAATAGTACACTGTTTCAGTATAAATGACCGAGTTGATTGAAAATCAATATTAATTCTAAAGCAATGTTTAAGGAGATAAAAGCGATGTGTTGTTCACCCAGTTACAATATTTAATTAAAATATATTTTCAGTTAAAACAAACTACACATCACTTTTGGAATGTGGTTTTAACATATTTCAAGAAGAAATACAGTAGAACCCCTCTTAACCAAAACCCTTTCGATCCAAATATTGTTTAACCGAAAGGTTCGAGAGAAAAAGAGAAAAAAACAACGAATAAGAGCGATGCTCCATCCTCGCGTGACCTGTCAACGCTAAGAATCTACCTTCTTAGAAATAGAAAGGAGAAAAGCAGATAGAAAGAAATCCCTTGGGTTCGGCTGTGCAACCAGCCTGCTACATGTTCACCCCACCCAGTCGACTTCTGCAATTGCAAAAAGAGTATGAACAAGCCCATTACGAAGATGAAAAAGTAATTTTTATTTCACCTTCATTATTCAATTTTTCCATCTTTGAAAATTGACATATTTTTCTCAAACAAAATTTTGATTATACCAAAAGATCCCCGTCCCATTTATTTCTTTCAACGGAGGTTTTACTCTATTACGTGTTAGACGCAGATTATTTTAAAAAATATATACTTAATACATTCAATGAAGAAACTGGCTTCTCAAAGAGTACTTTGGGGTGTAATATTGTTGGTCATGAGAGACGCTCGGTCAGCATTTTTAAACGGAATATTTGACACGCTCAGATTTTCAAAATACGGGATTGATTCTTATTATATCTATCAAATGTAACACAAAACATTCATAATCCAATCAATCGCAAATCAATTATCAAAACCTCATAAAACATTTTACTTGTCACCAAAAAGTTCAGCAGAGGAGACGAGCGTCAGGTCATAAGCTGCAGCCACTTTTTTGTTTCTGTGATTTCAAATGAGTATGTCTCCTTACGTGAAGTAAGTGGCGGTGTTTTCTGCCAGAAATGGATAGAGAGTTCATTGCTTTGCAGTTAACATGTGAGTTTTTATTATACTATAAACAGTAACAGTTATCGCTCCCAATGTTTGAAATTGATTTTGTTGCAATAAGTTACAAATACAAAATAAAAAGCACTATTTGTATACATTGTAATTTTCAGGAAGAAATTATCAAGATACTCCTACAATTAAGACGAAGGCATCAGCATTCGATGATAGAGCGATCGGATACCATGATTCGACAGCATCAATGAAAAATAGCAATAATGTAAATTTAATAATAATATATTAAAATAATAATAAATTATTATTATTCATAATAAATAATAATAATACATTAATAATAAATAATAATAATACATTAATAATAAATAATAATAATACATTAATAATAAATAATAACAATAAGTTAATAAATAATAATAAAATATTAAAATAATAATAATAAATTAATAATAAAAAATAATAATCCGAACACTTATTTAGTTCAGAGTTCTTGTAACCTAATTACGTATTTTGAGCTGGAGGTTTTGCACAATTTTTTATTATGTGTGTAGTATAAAACGAATATTTATATCTACAAGTAGTTTTTTAAAAAAATTGTAAAGAACTGCAGTTAATTGTATTACGTTCAATTGAAAATTATTGCAAAAAGCTGGAAACACGAGTCAACCAGAAATGTTATATATATGAACCCGGGGCACTACAGAGTAAAGAGATACTGAGACACGTATTACTTGCGAACGAGTCCAAATTAATTTATTGCAGCATTTCTCTTTCAAAATCTGCGAATGCGAATGTAGAACGGGAAGAAAATAAATAAAGGTTCATGTGCACAAGAACGCGGAGGAGATCAGTGCCATGCAGCCATTGCTCTGGGCGCAACACTCGCAGTTTCGTTCGCTTTAAACGGGCAAGGCTCTCCCTTCGAAGCTCCGATCTGACAGCCTCTGCTAGAATGTGTCGAAATGTTTACGTCTATTAGGCAAGCCGTTTATCTTCGCTGGCAGAAACGTATAATTTTGCAAGAACTGGTGCGTTCACACACGATATATCATATTGTGACTCTTAGAGATCCGAAGGCAATTTTTGTTCAAGGAATGGAACAACATGCGGAAGCTATGGCGGATCTGGCTGATATGGTATAGTTTTGGGTTTGGAATGTTAGCATTTCTGTTGAACAATGTAGGAAGGCATGTTTTTTTCACAAGAACTGTTATTTTTAACACTCGATATTATTTATATTCATTATGTTTATGAAATAGTAAAGAAAATCTTCTAATTCACATTGATTGTAGTCTTGAGATACATATGTAAATATTACCGTTTTCGGCCCTCCTTACAAACAATGCATATGAACAAACCACTTAATTAAAATAAATATTGAAAAATATCGTGTACAATGTCAATAAAATTGAGAAAATGCACCCTAGATTACTCACAGAGAGACTGGATGTCTTAACGAATGTATTAAGGGATTCTCACAAAAGTCAGTTCGTTAAAATACTTTAATACATTCATTAGAAATTACGAAGTAAACTTATCAATTTTCAACAGTGTCAAAAGGAATGAAAATGAGACCGGTTTAATTGAATTTCTAATTAATTATTGGGTATAAAATAATAGTAATAAGTTACTATAAAACGGATTTTGTTTTTGCAAATGATGGCGGCATATTTTATTTAAATCTTCCCTTGCTTGTAGGATTTCGTCACTCTATAACACTTATTTGACATCAAATGAGAAAGAGGATTTTTACCTGATAAATAAATAGACCACGAGACCATTTCCGGATGTCCCGACGAGCATTAGCACGATATATATGGACGCCATTATATAATGAGCTGAGGGAGAAGGTGGAGGATATTTCATCCAGGCTTCATTCATCATTTCCAAAAAGTTATCGGTGAAGAAACCATAGCGCTGCCATAAATGCACAGGATAACGTTCTTTGAAAGATGTGCGCAGTTGTTGAATATCTTCGTCTTCTTCTTCATCATTGGAAGAAGGTGCAGAAGCGCTGGTAATAGAATAACTTTTACTGTCTGCATCGTGTTGTAATGCTGTGGGAAAAATGGTAGCAGAAGTAAAACTATTCTTTTTTGTTTCCCAGACAGACGGAGTTGAATATGTTGGCAATTTTGCACTTGAAGAAAACTTTAAATTAATTTTTTCTCTCAGCGTCCTATGTGTTACCATTTCTATGCTACTGGTTTTCAATCTTACTTTTTTGATAGTTTTTTTGGTGTGAACATAGGGCTTATATGTTGATGTTTCTTGTTCATAATCCGAATCTTCTACAGTCGGTACAATTGACGTGAATTCTGTTCTCAAACTCGGAGTAGGGGGTAGTTCAACGGATGACACTGTAGTTTCTGAGCAAGTTGTGAAAGACTCATTAGTAAGAGGTACTGTAGACGGCGAAATCCAATTTTTTATCGAAGAAAATCTTACCACCGTATTGTTTTGATTTGAATCTTCCTCAAAATGTTCACTTTCATTACTATTCACTGTTAATAAGGATGGGTCACTAGTATTGATGCTATATGAGTACGTATCCGATGACTGTGTCACAGTGGAAGGACCCGACTCAAATGCATGATGCTTATTGCTTGGAGTAGCAGTTGATGTCGATTCGACTGTCTGAATTTGTTGTGATTCGGGATCCAGCGTTTCAAAGCCAGAACTCGGCTCGGCTACACACAACCGGGCGATGTTGCAAACGAAGTACAAGGTGCAGATCGGCATCATTGTCGCCGGGGCACCGGGCAAGATAACCATGACATTTAAAGCCCGGGGCTTCGCTTGCGGGAGGCAGCAACTTTATCAACCTTATAATGAAGTTTTTAAGTATCTTAATAAACGAGTCTCTTAGACAAAGAAAATAACAGTCGCCAATCAAATTACTTCCTTCTTGTGACATAAGACGTCACCGTATAGGTCTTGGCAGCACATTACTGTGGTCTGTCTTCCGGTTTGTACAATTTCTAGAATCTGGACGATCGCCCTTCTGTTTGAACACGTATCACAATCAACCATTTACGTCACTTCCACATTTATGGTCAATATCAACAGGACTGTTTAGAAACGAACGAATAGACGTACGTTCACTCTGTGAGTGTACCGACACAGTTCACTCGCACTGCACTTCCACAAAGAGAATGGATGGAGGTGAAGCGCCTGGGGGAACTTCCAGACTCCACCACGGCAGCGGCAGCAGTTGCAGCGGCAGCGGTGCCAGAGGCGGCGACGGCGTTGTTGGCAGCAGCGTCGGCAGCCGTTTGTTCGCGAGTACGTAGGATGATACGGGGAAGGAACTGAAGCGAAAGTGGAATAGGTGGAAGAATGAGAGGGAGGGGAAGCTGAAGTCGCTCGAAGAATCCCGACACAAACCCGTGTGCTCAAGGGCAGGCCCGAATTCGAAGGCCCTTACCCAGTAGGGGAAACGTGGTTCCGTGGCCGTGCGCCACCTCAGGTCGGCCTGCTACCGTGGGGCTGGTGGCGGCGGCGAGCCCCTCGCGTGCTGTCCCGCGGCGACGCCGGATCTCCCTGCCGGCGAGGCGGCCGAGGCGGCCGCGCTGTTGGGTAACGCGCCTGCTGGGGGGTTGGGGAGGCGACGGCGCCCGCTGGGGAATCGAGAGCCCCTGCGTGCGCCCTTGATGTGATCCTACGAACGCCCGAGACGCCACAGCGCCGCGCGCCGGTCGCATTCGCGAAAAAAAAAATGAACGTATCGATTAAAACAAGAACATCTCGCCGATGCACAAGGAAAGCCACTCTTCTCAAATGTCATTATTTAATTAAATGAAGAAAATGTTTTCGAAAATTAGTCAATTTTTATTGGGAAACATTTCATGAAATTCACAAGGTATTGACTAAAACACTGTCTTTTTCCGCGAAATAAACGGCTGCGCGCACGACAAAGCCTTTCTCTAAAATTACAATGTTCGAAATGTGACACTTTTTTTGCACAATAAAAAGTGTCACAAAGGAGACACGATTTCGAATTGTTAAGTAAGGCTTGTCATACCTGTCATAAGATGATTGAGTAGAGTGAGTAGTGATTGTGGACCCGTCAACAACTGAAGTCATTAGTCTCGTAAGTGTCATTTGTGTTATAGTCTTAGTGGTAGCGAAATTCCTCCTATGTTGGAAAGCGAGATCTGACGCCAACCTACTCGCCGGTTTGCAACTTTCCCTTCACTAAGTAACTCCCTCCAACCGGGAACCGTTTCAGCCGGAACAAGCTCTAAGCTTCCGTCTAGTCTCCAACGTGTCGTAATGTAATGAATGTAAGCATATGGTAGTGCTTGGTAGAGTCATGCGTATATGTGCGTGAATGAGGGAAGAGGGGATGAGGGATGAGGAAGGAAAGCTCGTGTGCAGTTAGTGACTCATTTGTTAGGCTACTGCTCCGCCATCGCTTACTGTTAATCTGAGCAGCCGAGCGGTAGAATTTCCCTGCACACAAAAGTGAACTCGACTCGGTTAAGTAGTGTCGAAAATTCACCGACTGGTCTCGAACTCAAGAACCTCTCGGTGAACAACGCCGCAGAGGTATCGAAATTGTCGCAGAGTTGTTGCAACAAGCGAGCGGAATCATAGGGTCGTCGGGCAGACAGTACGATTAAGAGAAGTTAAAGTGTTAAACGGTCGCATACCATTGCCTTTCGAGTACGTAAACATTCGATACACGATCCATCATTTGCGTCATGACTGTAGTACGTTACGTACAATACTTGATCATTCCCAAACATAAAAATAAATAGAAGACAATGTATTGGACAGTTCAATATCAGCGAATGTCATCTCATCAAACATTTAGATCCTGACCCATGTCTTAATACACTCGAAATGGTTCTCTTTATGCCACCAATATTATTGTTGAATGTCCAGAAACTTTTGTTTTTAGGAATTTACTTAAAATTAAATTATATAAATTAATATATTTGTAATCCTAATTATAAATGAAAAGATTAAAAATTAAATCTTATTTTTATGCAAGGTCAATAGACAGCTTCGCTAAACGAGCAACGTAAATAATAATAATAATATTAATAATAATAATAATAATAATAATAACAATACGTTACGTAGTGAATTGAACAACACATGATGCCCTGTCACTTTACTGGATTACTTTTGTTTATTCTTTTTATGTATTTAAAGGATTTTTAGAGCGTCATTTCCCCATTTGGATCGATACTTTCTGATACATACGAACAAAACCGCTCAATACATTCTGGAAATGTTCTTCCTAATTGCCTTGCGAACAAAATACAAAATTGTTTTCTTGTTAATTGGAAGCGAAAAAAACAGCAAAATTTCGATTTCATACAAGACTTCAAATATTACACCATTTATACACAAGACAAATGTTTCTCCTCGTGTTTAATAGAAACATTAAAAAAGATAAAAAATTCAATTATTACTCTTGAGATTAAGTATTTTTTCAAAACATTCAGAGACATGACACAAAAACACTTAATCGTACAAATTCGATGTTCCATATTAAAACCATATCTTTTTTAATGATCCAGACATGCAGCTGATGTCACGTAACGTAACGGTGCTGACGGCAGGGGAAAGTCGCCCCTATCTGATCGTTCGGCTTCTTAGAAGATTACTTTTGCCATCGGTTGGCGTGCCGTTATGTAACATCCAAAGTTTATGGTTAATTGAATTACTGAGGTTTAGGAGGCCCTTTTCCGCTTTGAGCGTAACGAAGATATTTCCTATTTTTCAAATTTACCATTATTATTTCTAGATGCATTGTACATTTCGAATATAAATTGGTATTACATTAATTTTCATTTTTTATCTAAAGAACAAAAGATTATCTGACATATGGGTGTCTAAGGGGACAATAAAATATATGAAACGAATGGTGCTACAGATAGGCACCGAATTTCTCTTACTACTTAGTTTCCTTATCTCTTTAGTCTGAGCTTGCTTTTCGGTTTTGCCCTCGCTCTCTTCCCAGATACTACCCATCCGCGCCGAAAATGCATTTTTTCACATTTTATCAATTTTTCGGTCACCTAATAGTATTGAAGGGCATTATAGAAGAGTAAAACATGGCCCTCTAGGTATATTTTCATTGAAAAAATTGAAGCTCTTTCATTGAAAAAATTGAAGCATTTTCATTGAAAAAAAATGAAGCATTTTCGGAAAAAATGTCATTTGAACGTTTCGAGTTTGAGAACGAAAATAATGAGTTTTCAAGAAACTTCAGAAATAATTTTAAGCGCTTGTACTCATAAATCCAATCATGTACACTGAAGAGCAAAAAACACGTACACCTGCCTAATATCAAGTAGGGCCCCCTCGAGTACGCCTAAGTGCCGGAACACGATGTGGCATGGACTCGACTAATGTCTGAAGTAATACTGGAGGTAATTGACTCCGTGGATACTTCAGGGCTGTCCATTAACTCGTAAAAGAACGAGGGCGTGGAGTTCTCTTCCGAACAGCATCCCAGAAATGATCAAGAATGTGCATGTCTGGGGATTTTGGGGATTTTGGTGGTCAGTGGAAGTGTTTAAATTCAGAAGAGTTCCTGAAACCACTCTAGCAATTCTGAACGTGTGGGCTGCCGCACTGTCCTGCTGGAATTGCCCAAGTCCTTTGGTATGCACAATGGACATAGAATTGGTGCAGGTGATCAGACACGATGCTTACGTACGTGTCACCTGTCAGAGGCGTATCTAGAGGTGTCAGGAGTCTCATATCACTCCAACTGCTCACGCCCAGTACCATCACAGCCTCCACCAGCTTGAACAGTCCCCCTTTGGCAAGCAGGGTTCATGGATTCATGAGATTGTCGCCATACTCTTACACGTCCATCCGCTCCAAACAATATGAAACGAGACTCGTGAGACCAGGCAACGTGTTTCCAGTCCACTACGTAATCAACAGTCCAATGTTTGCTTTGACGGGCACAGGCGACGTGTAAAGCTTTGTCGTGCAGTCATCAAGGATACACAAGTGGGCCTTCGGTTTCGAAACCCCATATCGATAATGTCTCGTTAAATGGTTCGCACGCTGACCCTTGTTGATGGCCCAGCATTGAAATCTGCTGCAATTTGCGCAAGGGTTGCACTTCTGTCACGTGTCTGGTTCTCTTCGATCGTTGTCGACGGGCCCGTTCTTGCACGATCTCTTTGCGGCCACTGGGATGTCGGAAGTTTGAAGTTTTTTAGAATTCCCGATATTCACAGTACACTCGTGAAATGGTCGTAAAGGAAAATCCAAATTTCATCGCTATCTCTGAGATGCTTTGCCTCATCTCTCTTGCGCCAACGATAACACCACGGTCAAAATAACGTAGTCGTCGTTCAAAATAACGTAGTAGTAAAAATAACGTAGTCGTCGCCGACCGGAGCGCCGTATTCTGATTGTTTCCAGATCACTATTTCATTACGCATGGTTGTACCAGTTCTTTTGGCTCTTCAATGTATAAGAACACTCATAATGCAAATATTACCGACATAAGAGATATTTAAAAAATAATTTGGAGATTTTTTGAACAATCAAAGGGATACATTAAAACCGTATATGCCATGTTATTTAGTTTAATCTATCAGTAGAAAAAGTACAAAGAAAAAATTTAGGACCTATTTTGAGAAAATCTTGTTTTTAAAATTGCCTACATTTCACTCAAAATTACTCAAAAACTACCCAATATTTAAAAAAATGTAGTTATACGAGGGGATCCAAAAATGTGAAACTCTTGCAATGGTAACCGTGAAAATAAGACACTCGCAATCTTTATGTCTGTATTTCTCTCTGTTTTTTTTTCAGGAAATTTAAAGGAAAGATTTTACGACACGCCAGAAAAAACTGGAAATGTCCAAGAGGGTTCTTGAAAACTACCCAAAATAGAAATAATTATTCCCAAAATTACAGGGTTCTGTCGGGCCAGATCGATCGGAGAATATTGCATTAATTACGTTTTACACTATTTTCTGTAGAATTAGTAAAGTTTCAGAAGATTGTTCATTGCTGAATGCAATGTTGAACTTTGTTTGCATTGTTATGGAATTGGTGCTAAAACTTATTCAGAGCATAAATTAAATGTTACAAAGCTCATTAAACGTTGTTTACGCATAAAAAAGACCGTTTTGTTAATATTATTGCTTTGATCAAATTATTATGTTACAAACACATTTACAATTAGTACCAAGTGATTCTGTTTTGTGACACAGGAGGTCATTAGGGTTCGGTACAAATTTTGTGTATCAACTTAGGGGCGTCGTTCCTAATCTGTGTGAACGCATATAGTAATCAAGTGCAAGTATTTTTATGCAAGTTAGCATCTTACTTTAATTTTGTGTCGAGTGCACCAGCGGCTCGCAGGCTGTGGGTCTGCAAAGTGCGCCCCCCCCCCCCAGGGTTGCGCCTCTGGCAGCCGCCCCCTTGCCCCCATCATTCTTAAAGGACTTAAGAATAATGTACAAAAAGTATATATATATATATATATATATATATATATATATATATATATACACTCCTGTTTTTTTAAAAAGTTGTGTCAATATCTCTAAAATACATACGATACAAACAAGAAAACGAAATGTGTTATTTGCCCAATCATCTGCAACAACATGGCGCAAATAGCATCTCCATACCACAATCCGTTTACAAGGTATTTGCTGAGGCCAACTGAGGTGGTTCGCCTTGTATTTTAAACAAGGAAATACGAAAACCAAAAAATACATCAAGTACTTCACTCAGGTGAATATTTACTTTATTTTTCCCGCGAAGTATTCTGTTTGCACAAAAATGTAGCTTTTCACACCAATGACGCTTCTCCTGAATTTTATCAAGAAAAATTTATTTATGTAGGAAATTAACAATAGTGAATTTTAATTGCATATTAAAGTGCACATTTCAGAATTTTTAGATCATATATGCATATTTTCAAAAACATATTTCAAGATTTTTGTAGAGAATAAAAATCCTCTCCCTAGTGATAATAAATAAATCGGGTATGTCTTCCATTTAATCACTCATTGAATTATACAATATTAATAAACTTTGTCAGTTACGTATGTTAGAAATATAGTCGGAATATTTCAGACATCTGCTTTTTTCATTTTCCTTGATATGACTGCCAAAGTGGCAGGCCTTACGACACAGGTGCAACAGACATTTCCAGGAAAAAAGTGTAATGCTTGCGATTACATCGGTTGTATAATACTATCTCCCTAATGGAAACTCTGTGATCTTTATGGTAATGAAATGCGGTTGTAATCTATAAATTCGAAAGTGGATAATGTGAATTTTTGTTGCTCCTGGATTCAATTAGGGAAATAATATATTAGTTACTTAAAAGAAATGCAATTTTTTATTAGTTATAGGGTTGCCAGAAGTACTTTTTAAGAGTACAATTTCCCATATAAAAAAACACCCTTTTTTGTAATCTTTTTAGATAGTGTTCCAGAGAGAACCACTCATAAATAGCGTACTCAAGAACACCAAATAGCATAATCAAGTACAAGTTTGTCGACCAGGCTTCTTTAACCCGATCCGCGCTGCCGCGTGGGTGTCACCTCATGACGTCACCTCATGACGTCAAAGCCGATCCACCCTCAGGCCTGTCGAGTTGGTTTTCTAAAATTCCACAGGGCAGCTTGTCAAGGAGATATGTTTCAGGAAAAACACATACATAAATGTACAAATGTAACTTCCTACTTTCACAACATCAAACAAAAATAACGACAATGCAATTGACGTTGGAGACATTCAGTATTATAAAGATACGTTCTTCGAACAATTCACACTTTCTTAAGAACATATTTTAAAATTCCTTGACAGTTGACTTTTCGCATTCCTTGATAGTAAAAAATATTACACAAGGTTTTTATTCCTGAGAAAGGCGAGTAAAGTCTACAACTTTTCACTTTGATGAAAAACGGTAGTGTATTCTTCGAAAACCAACAAGTTTAAAGTTCTCTTCATACATGCAAATCAAATTAGCACTTATAATAATATACCGTATATTAGAAAACCCATCTTATTAACTCTGTTCCAAATAGTAAGGTAGACAATAGTCGACTCTTTGAGCTCATACTAAAGAAACAATACAAACAGTCACATAAAAATCACGAACATAAAATTGCGCTAAATAAAGGAACAATGGAAAATGTAAGGTTGTACAATATTTCAATGCTTGTTCTTAGGGCACAAACTTCTAGTGTAACAGATTTTCGTTAAAATAGAGTACACGGTACTCTCTCAGAGAAACATGGCGTGGTGGAGGGGGTGGGGGTGGGGGAATGGAGGGGTCCCCTTAAATCCTCCCTCAAATTACGCTAATCGCTCTGATAGAAAAAAAATAAAACTTACCGATTGGCGATTTTGAGGCCTCTTAATGTTTGGAGGCGTCCTCAAGATACGACAAAAGCCTCTCAGTTGTGTTATTGACCCCTTAAAAGCGGATCCACACATATTCCGCCAGGTAGCTGACGAACTGGCCAACAGCGCGGCGCCGAGGCAGACTACGCTTCTTTGTGCTCCACATTCCTTCAATATGACGCGTGTGCGTACCAGTTTCAGGGTATCTAAAGCACATAGAGTGGTTTACAGCGAAATGCTGAGAACACTCGTCTTCTAAGCAGTTGCAAGACATACCGAGAACACGGTGGACCCCGGCGTGATGAAAGGCTTGATAACGCCCAGAAGCTGCGTTTTAACGACCTTCGAAAAAGCACCCGTCGTCTTTCGTTCAACTCCTCGAAACACCCATTTCCCAACCACTCTCTTGCCACGAAGGTACTTTCGGCGACCAAACTTGCTCTCATCTATTTCCACTTCCACACCAGCGCCTCCAATGGGTTCACTCTCTATCAACCGCACACTTGACGACAAAAATTCATACAGTCGGTCACGGTTCCCTTGCTTACGTTCAGTTCAGTCATAAAATCACATGGTACTTTCATGACTCAAAGATTACTAATAACTGAATCATACTCAACTTTCTTCCCGGAAACCATTACCCCTTCCGCATCCCTGTTTTGATACTTCCACTAGAAACCATTACACAACTTTCGCTTGGCCAACCTCATCAGACACTTACACACCGGATACTTAAATCCTGCAGCAATCAAGCCACGTTCTAGCGCCTATTCAATGGCAACCCATCCCCTTTGGCGTAAAGTGTAAAAAATGAGACATTTATTCTCACCATGGTCGTACAGACACTCGACACTCAAAACCACAAATCACAAAGAATCTGAAGAACGCAAGAAACTTAGCTGTACAACAACAACAACAACGTAGCTAACAACTTCAACAGCTACCCCGACACACAAAATCACAGAAGCAACACCACCACACACCATTTTGTAATGAAGCTCCGAGAAGATACAAGGAAATCCCCCCCTATAATCCCCTAAACACCCCTCGTCCCCTCCGCCGGGGATTTCCCCCTCGCCAGTTTAAACGACGCCCTTAAGTTGTACCGTATACTTGACTTCACTCTAGATTTTATCATTTTTATGCACGCTGGGTACATTTTAATTGCAATTACTTTTTGAATGCTAAAAATAAAATAAAATTTCACGAATATTATTTCTGGCTTTTGTTAAAATTTTCTTACACACTTTCGTGGTACGGGGACTCACGCTGCATCTTTGGCGGAAAGCATCGTTCGAAAATTCGACGCCTAGCAGGCCAATGAAGGCGGGCACGCCTCGGCTTGAACCAGACCTGCACGCTGCTCCCTCGCTGACCTCGGCTGAACAGTAGCGGGCGTTGGGGCGGGCAGCGGTACACCCATTGCCTTGCAACTCTCCATCAAAACAGGGGACGAAGCTCTAGGAGGCGCTAGTGTCGCCAGGTACAGTTCCAGGTTAGACTCGCCAACTTCCTCACATAAAAATTGGCTAATTTGTCAGAAATAGGAAAAGTGTCTTTTTAACGTTCGATTATTCATAACATACACGTATAAGAAACCTCTGAAGAAAGCGCGAACCTCGGCGCTATCTTTTGAAACATTATGGGCCTGCTTGCGACCCGCGAACTCACGCAGCAGCCACGCACGTTTGAAGTATCGTTGGCAGGAGTTCGTGATTTACTTCGTGTTTGAAGGTGCTGCAGCAGAGCGCGCCACCGTAATGGTTTCCACCACGTTATATGGGAGTTGCCCTGGGAAGGCCCTGGGTACCCCGATGTAGGCACCAAGGTCACGGTCTCCTGACGACGGCGGGGTGTCGTTAGCTCGCCCTCGACCTCGACAAGCGGTCCGGTCGGCTCTTAAGGGGGGCTGGCGTTAATGTTCCAAGGCGCACGCTTCGCGTTCAGCTACCTTTCGCCGTTCATTTGGTGAATTTTTCTGAATAGTTCGTAATTGCGTTGTTTTATATTGCTCTAGCGCGCGACGCAACACTATTATATTCAGATCCACTATTGCATGAACTCGTGCAACACTATTACATTCAGATCCCCTATTGCATGAGTAACTTCGACCACAAGAAGTGCCCAATACGGCCGTCTCTAACGGTTTTTTTCTCCCTGAAAGACACACGTTGCAATGTCTTCTTTAATTATTTTACTGTCTTCTAGCTGACATCGCGTCTGTGAGCCATACCTAAAACGAAGGGAACTCCTATTAGCGTCTTACGCTGCGAAAGTTTGGTGTATCTCGATCCTTACATTCTAGCGAACTATGATCCAGCCTAGTTATCGTAGGTACTGTTCTCGAACACCGCTCTCCCAGCCTCCTGGTATTCGACTTTTACATCTATTAGATTTTATTATCTGCCTTCCTACATCCATAAAAGCCCAAGCAGATCCCCCTTCGGAAACTCCTTCGTCTCCACATTGACTTCAGACTCCAATCTTCCCAAACTGACTGCTTGTCCCCTTGAATATCAAATTCCGTTCCGTGATATGAGAGCAGCATATCCTGACCATATATTAGTTTACACTGACAACTCATCTTCATGAGGCAATGTCATTCAGTTTTCATTTCATTAGGGTCACCAAGTCATGCCCTGGGACGTTTTTCAAATAAAAAAAAGGCTCCATCAGTTTTATAACATTTTTTGTTAGATAGTTTGTGTGAAGAACGTTTAAGAGAATGGTGCAGATCTCATGTTCATTGGAACATGATTTTTGGAAAATTGCAAAACTTGAACATTTTTTCAGAGTCTTCCTACAACTAAAATATTGAAGATAAAGATTTTTCCCCTTAATGAAGTCTGTTCCTTAATGATGGATTATGAAATAAGAAAGAAAGAAAGGAAGAAAAAAGGCGAAAGGAAGAAAAAAATGAAGAATGAAGTACACATTCAGAAAATGAACCTAGATGATATGTTTATCTCAGCTCACAACCTATTTCTGGCAGTTTCAGAAATGCACCTTGAATTCATTTTTAGTAAAGGAATTGTTTGATTTGACAAGGGAAAGAATAATCTATAGTAACTTATTTCTAAGATAAGTGCAACATCTAACAATATATTTCCTACTTTCACTAAATTTTTTACTGAGCATAATGCTTGTAATTTTACATTCTTTTATTCTAAACATACAATCAAGATTTGAGTCCCTGATAACTCTAAATTTAATTTTTGTGTTTGAACATTGTATGACATAATCAGCTAGATCTGAAATTGAAGAACAGATTGAGAATTCATACTAAAAATTGATCAAGGAAATGAATAAATCTTTACTCCCTGTTCTTACTAGTTATTTTCATAATTAGATAAGACTAAGTTTGATGATTTTATTGGTAAAACTCTGTTGAACACAAGACACAGACATAGAAGTAGACTCAGCAAATGGTAAAGAACAGTAATGTCTTATGAACAAATTTTCAAGGTAGGCAAAACAAATTTGACACAAGGGTAGTGGATCTAATGGAGAAAAGAAACCCATGCTCCCATCCTCTGATTTCAATGTTTGTTTTTTGTACTTTTACTCAATTCATTTAAAACAATTGTCACATACTGATTGCATCCCATTTCAAAGGGGTATTCCCTTAAAGTAAGAGTGGCTGTTATTTCAATAAGAAATTTACATTCTTTTCTTCTTCGTTGACATTTCTCCTTTAGGAATTCACCATTTCCGGCCTCCACAGATCTCAGTTTTCCCAATCATCAGGTCTTACACTTCTGTCCTCCATGACTTCTTTAATGTATTTTTCCCATTCCCAAGTTGGCCTTTCTCTCTTTCTTCTTCTTGATGGTTGGCATTCCAAAAATTTCCTTTGGCCATCTACCTTTAGGCATCATCTAGATGCATCCATTCCGTTGGAGTGCATTGTTTTCTAATCTTTCAGTAATTGAACAAATGACCTCTATCAGTTTCCATTCATCCTTATTTCGGGCTTTATCATACCATGTTAAATGTAGGCATATTTTCATATAGTCTATTTCCCCTGTTTGTATTTTCTTTCCTTTTTTTTATTGCAGGGGGGTCACATTTCCTTTTCATAAAGGATTTTATTTTTTGCCATGCTATGGAATATTATTTTCTTTATTTCTTGTCAGATATTGCTAGAAAGCTTTTGTAGCTGTGTAGAGCTTTTGTTGATTTCTTCCCCATTATTATTCTGGAGTTAATATCCTTATCACATATGCCAGTGTTACTTATTACTGAGCCGAGGTATTTAATGTTTTTTCCGCCTGTGATGGGCACTAGGGATCAACTACGAACCTCAGTAGCTGCCATTGCCAGCCCCAAGCCCGGAAAAAGGAGGATGGTTAGAGCAATTGGGCCAGCAACCCATTCTCTGTTAAACATTTTGAAACTGCATTCAACCCTACACAGAAGCCTTGGAAGGTACAATTTACATTCTAAAAAATTATCATTACTCTCTTACAAATGAACTTTTAATATTTTACTTGTCTGCATAATGAAATCTATATTTATGTAGGAATAGGTTTACAATTATTTAAAATTTATGTTCACCTACATAGTTTAGTTGAAAAAATGGTGTACTAGACAAGAGCTGGATAAACTTCTTCAGGGGCCCCATGCATGATGAAATTATGAGCTTCATTACTAAATTATAATGACTAAAAATGCTTTATTAATAAAGTAATTAGTAGAGAACTTTTCTTGTTCTTATTCAACATCCCGATATATAACAAAAGTATTTTTCCAGATGAAAAATACTTACCCAAACAGTAAGGCATAAAAAAAATAAAAATTGCCTAAAATGTATTAAGTCAGCACCGTAATCATCAGCCTTCCATACCTCAAGAAACCACCATGATGAAGACTAGGGCTTTTCGCAATCATAATTGCCCTTAATTTGAAAGGAAAAGACCCCTTCAATGATGACACAAAGCCATTGTCCTTTAGGTCTTTATGAAGATAACAATGCCCTTGTCAAATATGATCTCTGGGATAACATAAGGTTTCCATGAAATTACAAATCTGTCGTATATTTTGGTACTTTAAAGGTAAATTGTAGTTCAAATAAAAAGTGTAAAACAAGAAATATTACAGACTTTTCAATGAAGTAGTAACTTGTTGAATTGAGAACGTTCAAATGACTTTATGAAGTTATATGACCTGTTCATAAATTACATGAACATACTGTTTGTAAATTACAATAAAAATTTCATACAATTTCAGTTACTCTGGTGTAATTATGTGTTATTTTTATTTTCGGCTTAGAGAAGCTGTTGAGACTCCTCTTGTCTTGTAAAGATTTACTTCTAAGGAAAAAAAAATAACATTTATTTAAAAAGAGTAAAAACATCTGATAAGGTGTATCATTTGTCCAGAGGGAATTGAATAACTCACAGACCTTTTACAAATCATTAAGGCTAGACTATACGTTACTTGAAATAACTTAAAAAATATTTTCTTCTAATTAAGTGCTCTCTATCCTGATAAATGTTTGCTTTTATTTCAACAAAAATAATTTACTTATTTGCTAGTTAATTAATTCAACACTCTCATTACTTATTGTATACTCCTTTAGCAGGATTTCTAAAAGCAACTGAACTTGATGTTTTATTGATTGAAAATAAATGAAATATAAGGACGAGGATGGAGATCTAATATTCTCTTAAGAATTTTTCTGAACTTTCTTACAGAAAAGTTAGTTATACAAGAAATATTGAACAAATTAATTGTTGATTATTTAATGGGTAATTTACTGGGTTTATTTCAAGTAAGAAAATAATATGAAACATCATTGTCAATTGAAGAAAATTCTGATTGTAGCAATGGTCATGAAAAGTTTAATCATAAAACATTTCTTATATTAAATTGTCTGTATAATAGTAGTGGTTAAGAGGGATTACAATACACTATATAAACAATAATTATAGACTTGGCCCCACCAATCACTTTAAACCAATCATTATCCCTGGCTGTTTCTTTACATGAATCACAGCATTAAACAATTTTTATTTTGATTATAACCAAAAGGAACCACCTTTAATTTTAATTATGATGAAAAGAAACAGACTTCTCCCATACATTTACCATTTATCTTTCATGTCTTTCTCAGAAGGTGGGGTTATAATTGTATATAATGTATAGTGTAGGTGTAATAATATATACATTGATCTATTCTCAGACACAATACCCAGCTGGACCCAGCAGTCTGGATACATTAATCTTCACTCAAAGTACTCTTATTCACTCAAAGCAATCAACTTAACAAGTAAAGGAACCAATCAAAAGAATGTAATTCTTTAGATGAAATGCATACAAAATTATGAAAGGAGTAGATAAGCAAATTATTACTTATGTAGGGAAATTTATATACAGAAATAATTATTTTTAAGCATATACATGGAATGTGATGCTACATATAATTCCTACTTTGATCTGATCTCATTCACAGATAAAGATAAATATTAATTATGACACATTAGCATACTTCATTAATTTCCTGATACAGGCACGTAATACCAAAATAGGCACATGAATTGGGCTCATGCCCATGTCATATGACCCTCTTTTTTGGAAGGGTAACAAGTTATTTTGTATTATATATTTATAAAGTAATAATTAGTGAAACTCATCATTTTGTACAGATTTGGCAATAAAATAAAAAAAATAAGTTCATGCAGGAATTTAACAATCCCGCATCATATTTTTTAGGACATGAAGAATAATGTTTCAACATAGTTACATCACTGCAGATATAAAATATTCTCTACAGTATCAGAGAGTGCAGTTTGGCACCACAAAATCATACTGCTACCCCTTGTTGAAGGAAAGATGTGCTATGAAAATAGAATTGTGTTTATTCCTATTATGAAAGGTTGTGCTAAGTCTGGTGGGGTAACACTTGCTTCACAACAACAGTGTATAAAACAAACAGTCTCTATGGCAACAATCTTCTCTGGTAACAATCCTCCTTTTCAAAGGAGCTATAAAACATATATAAAAAGTCTTCAAATGCACTTTGTCATTATGATTTAGCATAATGTCTTCTTGATGAAGAAAGTTGCTCTTCATTTTATATGATGTTCACACACACTTCACTGTTTGACTTGAACAAGCCTACAGCATCTCAGAATTTATGAAGGTTCAGTAATAAAACTGTCACATCACTGTTTTTCTAGATGAATGTAGTTGCTGGAAATAAAAGCATCATGCTTATTGTTTATGATTAATTCAATAAACTTATTCAATTTTCCAGACAAATACTCCCAATAGTTCTGTTAACATGTGTGATTACATTTTTTAATCTCAAATAATACCTAAAAAATCAGAGTAAATCATTTCCTATTAATGTACATACATTTTTCATAAAAATAAGATACTTAAATACTAACCTCGTAATTAAATAAGTTCAGCAACAAACTCTGGTTGCCCATCTTTATTAATGGTTAAAGCTGATCTAGATCTTAAGGCATCTAATCCACTATTCCCTTGTGTCTGCTCTGGGACTTGAAATGTTGAACCTTGGAAACCAAGTGTTGCCACATACATCTGGAAATAAACAAATAAAACAATAACACATTTATGATATTACATTTGATTTGAAAAATATATTTTATATGTTCTAAATGATATTAAACAATTGCAATACAAATGTATGAAGTAAAAGCAAGCACCATTAATATCTGGCAATTAATAATACTAACTACTCCAAAAAATGAAATTATTTTCATGTCAATAAAAAATCTCTATCGGTACAAATAATTAATCAATACTGAGAACTTCTTATTGAATAGGTTATAATATTGGGAGGACATGCAAGGAGACCACATTTGCAATTATCTTGTAAATTTAGTCAGCAATTATACGTACATCTCTCGGTGTTCCTCTAAGGGAACTGTGAGCACTACTATTGTGATGTAAGCCATTTCCTGAAAGGGTTGCATAATCACCCATGTCATCAGAACTTCTTCTTGCTGGATGTTGAATAGTAGCATATGTGTTGTCCACCTGATGACAAAATTTTTATTTTACACTAATGTACTACTGGGAAAAATATTTTAAATATAGATTACAGTTAAAAAACTGTTAACTATCAGTACTTGAGAAAAATCTGCACTATCTCGGCGTTCCTGGGATGGGTTTGGAATTGCAGCCATTCCTGGTCCTTCTGGTTCACTGAATACTTGCATAGTTAATTCTTGCTCCTCATAAAGTTTTAACTTCCTGAAAGGAAGATCATTAAATATCAATATGGGCTGAGCAGACAAAATTATACTAATCACATATTAATATACAATAGTAACAATTCAAATCAGATTCATGATGAACTTGAATATTTGTATACACAGAAATAGTTCACTTTTTATATAAAATATAGTTGTTGCATCTTTGCAACACATCTCTAAGCCTTTCTTGGTCATTGAGGGCCTAGAGTAATCCTCCTTTAACTTTTTTTTGGTCTTTTTGTCTCATTATGTTATAGTCAGTCAGTGCCTTTTATCCCTTCAACCAAGGGCTTATCATCATTAGTAACCAGGATTCTCAGATGGTCACCCACCTAAGAATCCTTAGTGCCTCGAAGTGCTTAACTTCCATGACTTTATGGAACGTAGTTAAGCAATTCAGCTAATAGGACCTGAACCTTGTCTTCATTATCTCTGTAGATTATATTAACCAAATACAAAATATTTAATGAATTTGCAAGGACAACATTAATTTAATATTGCCCAAAAATAATTTGTGTGTTATTCTGTTATGTTATAAGTTATATGATAATGTTTCAAAAAATGTTCTTCTAAAAGAATCAAATTATTTAAAGCAACTTAACTTCCATGTCCTATCCAATGTTTAATTAATGTGTAGGTTATAAAGTTGCATAAGGGAAGAAAAATATTTGAGACAGTAAATTTCTAACAAATTCTAGAAATCTTCAACAGAGTTAAGTTAATCTCTAGTTTGAAACTATAAAGGGCAAGAAACAGCAGAGGGTACTATCACAAACTTGATTATTACTACTTAGCAGCTCATAGTTTTTTTATATAGAACATGATAGATTGGGATACACATATATTAACTACTTTGCACGAAATTATTATATTGCTACTACAATAATTATTAGAGAAATAATTTTTTAATTGTAACTTAATGTTATTAAGAATCTACTTAAAAATTGAAAAAGGAGAACTTACTGTTCAATCCATAATGGATTCTCAGTTGTATTTAAATCATCAATTATTTCTTTTTTTATTAAAGCTTCTTTTTTCTTCAGTTCTGATGGAGCAGGAAGCACCCTGGGTGAATAAAAATGTTTACATTAACATTTTTCTTTGATTGTTGTGATTGAAATTTTATGAAAACTTTACAAAGGGAATATTAACTATACTTACCAATGGCGAAGGCAGCAACAAACAACAACAAATGTAACACAACCCACAAATAGTACAATAAGAAGAGCAATTAATGCAGCCAAGGCTGTATCAAATTCTTCTTCGTGAGTACCAACAAATGCAGGCTGTAAAGTATGAGTAAAAAACCACATTTAAAAACATATCTATGCATTACATTCATGATTCATGTTAAATTGCAACTATTCTATAACACTGAAACATACCACTACATTCTGAATGGAGAAACCAGCATAATAATTCTTGAGATAATCATATTTTGTGTCAATAATTTTCAGTACATCTGATATTGCTGCAATGGTTTGTGTAGGGCCATCCACTACATGTATATACATGTCACACCTGAAGCAATAATTCATTTCACAATGTATTTAGAAACTTTTAAAAAATTGAGAAAAGTGATTATTGCATAAAAGAAAATTTTAAGAAATTAAATATTAATGTATCATAAAAATACTAATATTAGTTTCATATCATTGTACATATAATTTTCCAATTCGCTCAAGAAAGACATTTGTTGACACAAAGCTTAAAAAACAATTACCAATCACGTTTAATTCGGCCTGAAGAATCAACATGGTATCGAATATCATCAACTACAACAAGACTCTGAGTAACATTTGATAACTCAGCAACAATTTCTTCTTGCTCCATATTCACTTCTTCAGGTGTCTGAGCTAGAATTACACGGATAAGCTGCTGTGGTTCATAAATCCATATCTGCCAAAAGAACATTTTAAATTCTATTACAATACTGACAAATTTTGGCAGATTGACAAATGACAAATGCATTTAAAATTGTTTGAACTTTTGAATTTTATGATTAATTGAACTCACATGTACATGAGTCACTGCTTCCCTTTCCGGTGCTGCTTTTTCTTTTGCTCTCACTTCCAACACAAATCTTTCCTGATTATACTCAGCCATGTAATTAGCTGTAACTATTCTTCCATCTTCAGTTACATTGAATGGAGAAGGTATAATTGATCCTGATGAGCGATTAGATCCAAATTTATAAAGATTTGATGCAATGATAAAATATGACAAGGAACCATTAGCACCAAAATCTGAATCTTCAGCAAGAACTTTAACTACAAATTCATTTATATTGGTCATTGCATTTACTCCTAGAAACGAAATTCAAGATAAGCAAAATTCATACATCAAGTTTAGTAGCCTCATCAAAATTACTATTTTTAAATATGAAAAGAGTGTTTTATACTGAATTACTATTTTAAATACAATTTTAACACTTTACCAGCATAATAATTGGGTCGATGAAAATGTGGTGGATTATCATTTTCATCTAAAATTGAAATTCGAACTTGTGCAATGCTAGGATCACGTTCTTCATTCAGCACACTGATTTCTTCCTGATTTCATTAAAAAAAAGTTTTCCAAATCAATAATTCATGATTTAAAAAAATATTCATATTTTAAAGAATTTTCATTAGTGATCTATAAAATACTCACGGGTGTAGGGAAATATTCAGGTTTATTGCAAGCTTTAATAAAGATATTGTATTCATCTCTTTGTTCACGATCAAATGACGCATTTGTGAATATGCTACCATTTGTTTTATCAACATAGAAGCCTCCCTCTTCATTTCCAGCAATTATGTGATAGTAAACTGTTGCATGGCTGCCTTCATCAAGGTCTATGGCACTTACTCGACCTTTAATGAATGAATGCAAATTAATCAAATTCAACAGATAAAAATCAATTATTAAATAAAAGTATCTTATCAAATATTTTGTTTACATTTATTCTATGAAAAAAAGTTTGATAGAAATGTACAAAATTGTTTACCAATAAACATGTTTACTGGTCCATTTTCTGCAACTCGAAATTGGTAAGGCATGGTTGAATCATCCATTGGAAACTCAGGTTGATTGTCATCAGCATCCACCAGGAGAACAGTTAAGAATCGTAGTGTTTCATATGGTGTTGGCTTTCCATGATCACGAGCCACAAGTACAAGCTAATAACAGAAATGGAAAATTTAATAGCTAACTTAGTAAATACACTGCCTTTAGTAACAATGTCGCATATAAGTGTTAAAGATAATGTGTCTTACTGAGTAGTTTGCACGAATTTCTCGATCAAGAATTATTTTTGTTCTAAGTTCTCCAGTATCTGCATTAATGCCAAATTCATCTGTTTCCTGTTTATTCATATTGTTAACTTTTAAGTGGTATGACACATGACCGTTCTCTCCACCATCTTCATCAGTTGCTTTCACAGTCATTACAAGGTAGTTTGGAAGACCAGCATTCTGTCAGACAAAACATTTACTCAGTTCAAATTAAGGAGAAGAAAAGTATTCTTGATTTTAAATACAGAAAACAATAAATAAATAAAAATGAATAACCTACCTCTGGAACTTCAATTGTTGCGTTTGCGAGAAGTGGCATTACAAATACTGGAGGATGCTGATTCACATCTAAAATATGAATGTTGACAGTGATAGTGTCAGAATGAGGCCCTTTTCCTCGACCATCTCGACCTTCAATGATTAAATTAAAATCTCGAGGTTGATGTTCTAATGAAGTTGCAGGGTAGAGAATTCCAGTGACAGGATCAAGGAAAAATGCTCCTGAAAATGAAATTTGGTTATTTAATAAAAGCATTATAACAGAAACCCAAGGGAGATTCTTATTCACAATAAGAAGTGAAACGTAAACTCAATATAGAAATTAAGAGATTGTTGATAATATTATTCTTAATTAAAACAGAAGGATCCAAATGTAAATTGGTTTCTGTCTTAGAAAATAAAACTTCTTCAAAACAAGCACTGGGCTTACCATTTTCATTGCCCTGAAGGATTCTGTAACTCACTGCTCCATTATCTCCTTCATCAGCATCTTCTGCACGTACTTGAGTAATAGGGGCTGGAGGTGCCACAGACAAATTTTCATCAATTTGAATGTCTAGAGCTCGGCGATAAAATTTTGGTGGATTGTCATTCTCATCAATTACGCGGATATGTATCTGAAAAAATGATTTAATATTATTCCTTAAACCATGGACATATTGTAAAGCATGTGCATAGGAAAATTGCACCATCTCTCTTTCACTGAAAAATAGCATTCATGTCTAGTACAATTCTAAGACTAAGAAAAACATCCTATTTTTGCAAATATAATTTTTTCCACAACAAAAGTTTTCAAACCTTACAATTAATTTTAGCTTTGAAACTATTTTTCATTCAATTATTACATTACAAAGAATTTAAATAATGTAATGAAACTTACTGGAACAGCAACTGAACGACGAGAGTCTGGGGGTGCACTATCACTAGCCATCACTTCAAGGGTCAATTCTGGCAGGTTCTCTCTGTCCAGAATATTTGGATTACTAACAACAACTTCTCCTGAATCATGTCCAATACTGAAGTCGTGACTATGTTCCCCAACTAAAGTATAAGTAACTACACCAAATACACCTTCATCTTGATCAATAGCTTTTACAGTAATAACACGTGTTCCTGGCAGTGAATTTTCAGAAACAGATGCTTCATATTGCGACTAAAAAAAGAAGAAAAACATCACATAAAATTAATTGTGTAATCATTCCAAAGAGTTTGATGGACAAACGAAATGTGTTCAAATTTGTATGTTATTACTCACTTGAGTAAATACTGGGTCCATATCATTTATGTTAATTATATTAACAGTCACATCTGCAGACGCAGATTTTTGAGGCTCCCCTGAGTCATATGCTACTACAGTAAAATTTAGACTCTTCATTGTTTCATAATCAGCGGGTTTCTTTGTTCGAACAGTTCCTGTATTGAAACATGATTCAACTTTAACTACAACAGTATCATCAGTAGCAATAATATTAATGCTTTAATATACATAAACATTCAATCCATAATATATTTTATGTACAAAATGTTTCAAACAATAGAAGTTTTTCAAAATGATATTATTTATCTTCATGTGATCATTTATTTATTTAACATCAAAAATAGTGAGCGACATACTATGGGGAGAAGAGTATTCTGTGCATGTTTTCTTAAATTCTGGGATCCCTACCCTAACCCATAAACAAGTTGAACTCTGAATGCAGATGAAATGAGCAGTTTTGGAAAGAACTGATATGAAAAATTTGCTCCAATGTAATAAAAACTATTTCAAAGGCAAATCGGTTGTAGATTTTTGCTTTTATCCCTCAATTTGCCCTTCATGCAGGAATCGACTTCCTGTCATTAGAACATGAAGAACAATAATTTGAATAACTATATAACCCACAGAACCTTAGAAGATATGCACAGACAATGAAGTTACATTTATGTCCAGAAGCAAAACAAGGGGACATTTCAGCTTTCAGCATTTGCTTGAAGGATTAGGGACACTGGATGAAAAACCAGACTGAGACAGGGGCCATTGATGCAGAAGCTGAGAAACAATACTTGTTAAGGGTTGTTTAGAATTTTATACTTCAAATGTAATTAATACATTCAATATCATTGAGAAAATTAATATTGCTTTCCTTTCTGATGCTCGGTTTAGCCTCTAATTTTGTGGAAATAGTTATGCAACAGAAAATACTTTACATGGCACTTAAACTTGTTTATCAAATTTAATCATTTAATCTCATATGGTCATGTGTTGTAAAATAATCTACTGTATTGTATGTTAAATTTTTGTAGTGGCCTGTCAAGTTATATATTTTTAATTGTTTATATTTAATTAATTTCTTTTCAATCCATGAATTGTTTTGCAATGTTATGATAATTCATTATTCAAAGCTGACAATACAATTTATCAAAAAATATTTTATAATTGATGCAATGAACTTCACCAAATTCATTACAAAATGAGGTTATTTATTTTGTGCACAGATATTACATACACAACTTGTAAATGAACAAAGGATCAGTTGTGAAGTGAAATAGCATGCAGGCAGTTCCACAAGTTGTGTCAAATTTAAAAACCAATGGTTGTTTTAACAAAGGTTGTCTGAGATTTAGAAAATATGTGAGATTGAGGGTACATAGATGTAAATTTCAATTGTAGGAATACGACTTCTTTAATTAAAACTTCCTATTGGAGCTCTAAGAAAATGCAGTATAGACCATGTAGGAGTGACAAAATAGAGTTAAAGATTATGAATTACCAGTAAGATTATTTATCTCAAAGAATTCACTCTCGGGTTCAATAGCATAATTTGCTATCTTCGAGTCTTCATCATGAGCCACGAAAGTACCAACTACTGTGCCAACTGGTTGTTCCTCAAGCAACTCAACAGTGTAGTGAGGATCTTCTGGAGTCCATGGTCTTGGAAATGTTGGTGCAAAATCATTAACATCAATTATGGTGATGACAAGAATTCCTGAACAAAATTAACAAGAAAACTCAATTACAAATGAGTAATCAGAATACACAAAACAAATATTAAAAAACAAACACATAAAATTAAAAATTGTTGGAACAAAATATTATTTAAACATAATGAGATATTCAAAATACCTTTGCCTTGTTGAGTGGTTGGAGCTGTAATATCAGTAACTAATACCGTTAATCTTACAATAGCAGCCACATCACGTTGGAGTTCACGAGCCACTGAAACTTCTCCTGTAGCTCGGTCAACAGCAAAGAAAGACTAAAAAAATAATAAGAATGGAATGAAAGTTCAAAAGTGTGCAATGCACACATCAACTTATGGTTTACTTTCCACAAAATACCTTAAATTCATCAGAGTCAGTAACTTGCTTTCCATTTTTATCCACAGCAGTTATAGGTTCAGCAAGGGCAAAATTAAGAGCATCTGATGAATTAACATCAGGATCTTTTGCTTTTAATGTGTAGAAAACAGTGTTAGGAGAAGCATCTTCTGATACCTACAAAATATACAAAAGTTTGGAATAATTAATACATGCAAAAACAATTTATATTTTAAATTTTAAAAAATGTTAGAATAAGTATTTGATAAAGGCACAGATTACTATTTAGACCTGTAAAGTTTACGATCCCTCAATGCCAAAATGCAATGAACTCACTTCTGCTCGTTGGGTTGGAGGATCAAACACAGGATCTTTGTCATTGCTGTTCAGAACAGTTATTGAAACAGTTGTTGTTCCAGTGAGAGATGGGGTTCCTAGAGACAAAATCATTTGACAAGTTTAATAATTAAAATAAATATAAACTCGCATAATATCATGATCTTTTGCAAATGGTTTCTGCAATAAAGTGAATTGCAGAAATATGTTTTTAAAAGTGCAACTGTGACTACATTACTTCCATTCATGTAGATAGATTCTGCACTATATTACAATCATTCATATAAATATATTTACAAAATGATGCTTACCTCCATCAATGGCAATTAGTTCTATGCTGTATTGACTTCGTTTGTCAAAGTCCAATTTATTAGATACTTGTATCAAACCAGTAGTTTCATCAACAGAAAAATCATCGTAAGCTCCTTTTTGAATACGATACTTAATTTCAGCATTTATTCCTGAATCAGCATCAATTGCCATAGTTTGCTCAACACTAGTGCCTGCGAGAAAGATTTTGTCATATTTCTATACTTTCATCAGTATAACATTTCACGGTGGAAATATGTAAGGTTCTGGTTTTCACTTACCCACAGAAGCATCTTCTTGAACAAAAGCAACATAATTATCTCTTACAAATGCAGGAGCATTATTGTTCACATCACGAACAACTATTTGGACAGTTGCAGTAGAGGAAAATTTTCCATCATTGGCCTATAAAATATAGAAAGGCAAATAAGCACAAATTACAACTTAGTATGAGAAATTGTGTACCTTTTGTTTTGATGCTAAAATCTTACTTACTTGAATAGTTAACATTATATCATCTTTTGATACATTTGTCATGTCAACTCCTTTCAGATTGTTTATAGTTAATTCCCCAGAATGGGGATCAATGGAAAACATATTATTAACATTTCCATCTACAATGGAAAATACAATTTGTGATGTTTTGTCCAAATCTCGTGCCTGAAGAAAAGACAAAGAATTTCAGAAAAATATTTATTGTCTTTAAGCTGTGAAGAATGTAAATTTTGTTTCATTCTAATATTACCTGGACTTGCAATTGAGGTTCAAATCTTGTAGCTCCTTCATCTATTACTACCCGATAATGATTGCTAAGAAACTGAGGTTTGTTGTCATTGCTGTCAAGTAAAGTAATTTTCAAAGGAACGTTGCTAGAGAGTCCTTTGCCATCATCATCTGTAGCCTTTGTCAGAAAATAAACAGTTAAAAATATTACTCATATAGCATTACAAGGGAGACTGCATAAAGTAGCAATGATTCAATTATTCAGTGTATTCCAAATAAATTATATTTTCAAATATTTGGAGAACATTGCTTTCAATAGCATATGAATGGTTTCAGTATAAAAAATGATCTCACACAAAAACACATTTGAGAAGAAGCAAGTTTTGATTTAAGGAGTTACATAAAAATATCAATTGGCAGTCATCTATAAGCCATATAATGAACTATTTGAGCATTACACTGCATGAAAAACAGTTGGAAGGACTAAACAATTGTAGAAGGTATTACAAAAATTATAGTTTTGAAGTTTGGCATGTTTTGCATCTGAGCCTGTATACATTTGCTCTCATTCAAATAAGAAAAGTATAGAAAGAGAATTTATTTGCCCAATTTTAAATATTACTGACAATTTACTTTAACATTGTTTGGTAACTTCACCTAAACTTTTCAATATGTTTCATAAGATTGTGCTAATATTATTGAAAGTATTTAAAATCTGAAACCAGAATTTTGCATGGCAAATAGTAGGACAATATTTTGAAAAAAGCAAAGCAAAGCTCAAAATTATCACATTTTTTATGATAAAAATATACCTTGTAAGACAGATAATAAACAGGTCTAGTTTCAAAATCAAGGCAAGGACTTGCTCCAGGAGACGGACATTCTGCCACAGTAATGACACCAGTCTTGTTGTTCACAGTAAAGCTGTAAATGAAACATAACTATATAGATATGGACTTTTTGTATACATTAATAACTGTTTGTTAAATTATATGAAATACAATTATTAACACAGCTTACATCTTTTAAAAAGCCGTTAATAATATGTAATCAAATTAAGATTGATAATAAAAACTAATTTAAATTATTAGCATGAGTAATAAACTAATTTGAAATGGAACTTATAGTGATCAATCTTTTAGAGAAAAATTAATGAAGACTTTGATGTTTTGAAACATTTTAATGTTGTTTATGACATATTTCATTGACATAATTTGTAGATTAGGTGTTCCTAAGATTGACTTAGGATATTAGAACTTTTACAGTATAACACAATGTGTAAAAAATAAACGAGACATCATTTCAAAAAATTTGAAGGTAAAAATCTTACTTTTCAGCACCTTCTCCAAAGAGGGAATATATAATACCATTTTCTCCAAAGTGCCCACTATCTCGATCTTTGGCAGTAATTGTGGTAACAACTGTATTAGGAGAAGCAGTTTCAATTATTGATGCAGTGTAAGCATCTCGATCAAATTGGGGAGCATTATCATTCGCATCTGTTATAGTGACAGTTACTGTGGCTGTTGATGAGAGCCGAGGATTTGTTTGTGATTCTTCAGCAATAACCTACAAAATTATAATAACACATTTAGGTTTGGAAGAAGATGTAACACACTTTAATTTTTAAGTTAAAGGATTTTAAGGAATTTATTACATTCCCTCCTTAATTATTTAACATATGCATTCACATGTATAGAGCACACATGCAAGTAAATATTATATTATTCAACATACCAAAACAATAAATTTCCGTTGATTGGGATTTTCATAATCTAATGATCCATTTGCCACACGAATACTGACAGATGTAGATCCAGTAGCTGATTCAGGTTCTACTTGGAAAGCTTTTGATATGTCTTCTAAACGTAAGGTGAAAGCGGAATTGATTCCTACGTCTGGGTCCGAAACTAACATATCAAGATGTGGAAGTGGTGTTCCTTGTGGTACATTTTCAGAAATGGATGTACTATATTCACGACGATTAAAGCGAGGAGCCTCATCATTAACATCTTTTATGGTAATTGTGAGGTCTGTAGTTGCCTCTGTCAAAGGATCACCAGCAGCTGAGCCATTCACAAGTTCACGAGCCTACAAAAACATATTTATTGTTTGGTTTCAATTAATAATTTTAACAACAAAAAGCTTATGAATTTTAAGTAAAACGCAATTAAAATAGCATGAATTTATGAACATTAAAATGTTTAAAATACATACAGTACCTGTCAACCATAAATTTCATAAGTCAAATTTTATGCTAATTCATATTTTGAAAATGTAATGACATTTTAACAATACACAATTTAAACCAGAGTACAAATAAAAACAAAAGAAAAGTGCAAATATTTTCTAGAAAAAACACTTAACACAGACACACAGACCAACACAAAACATGCAGTAAACATTGAACATAAACAATTAGAGAAGATTTACTTAAATTTTTATTAAAGAATTGTTAAAAATGAATCAAAGCATCATTAACACAAATACAAGTAGGATGCTGTGCCACTATTGGACAATAAAACTTAATATATTAATTTGTGCACTTAATCATAGAACAAATCTCATGCAATAATATATAAAAAAAAATTTACATAGTTTATACATAGGTACAAAAGACACATTTCACCACAGGCAATCTATTCCTTTTTATCAAAACTGGTAAACTTGGTTACTACTCTTGAAACAAACAGATAAAAACTTTCTTCTAAAATTTAATATGTTAATAACATGTAGCAATTGTTTCTCAAGGAATTAAATTGTTATAACTAATACAATGTATTAGGGAAGTTAATATGTCATTTCCCACCTAAGTTCTTTGGATCAAAATTTTAAAGATGGCAAGTGTGATCAAAATGTTAGAATTAAATATTTTTTAATATGACTGGTGAGTGAAAAGTGATTCAAATGTGCGAAGAGATGTTTAAGTCGAACAAGTCTCATCCGTTTTCTATGTGTTCTTTAATCTCTGAAGATCAACACTTATTTGACCATTTATTCACAATTAAAGTAGTTGGTAAGTGTATGCAGATCTCTTCTTTCTTTCCTGTAGCTGCCTTTCTGAGATCACTAAATTTGTTGTTTCTTGTATCTTAAAAAATATGTAGAAATCTGCTGCTTTTTCACACAATTCTTCATGATCATTTGTTTGTAAGGGGAAATATTTTTTTCATTTTTATTTTCCTCTTTAATAAATGGAAGTTATATTCTGTTTGTTCAGTTTCTTGTTTTTATTGACATTCAAAACTATACCTCACATTTCTTGCACATTCATAAAATTAAACTAGTTGGGTCTAATATAATTTTGCAATCTATACTTCAAATTTGCACACATATTTTTTTTATCTGAAGTTTTCTTCAGCCTTCAAGAAAATGCTGGAACAATCTGTATTTAATCCTTGTTGTTGTAAACAAGAAATCCTACACAAGATTCTGGAACATTATCAAAAGACGTTCACAGAGGAACGTGAATTGCTATTTGTTGAATGAACTAAGTACAGTTTGTATGGATATATAATGATATAAAAAAATTCTAGTTGTTCAAGAAGTATTTCATTATTTGGAACATTTATGTCTAGACATACAGAATTTTTGCTCAAGTTCCTGTACAAGCACAATTTTTAAAGTGAATGTAACGGGAACTATTTCCTGGATACAAGAAAGAATAAAAGATTCTAATTTGTTCAGTTACAAAAGTCACCCCCAAAGATTATTGAGGAAAAGTCAATGTTCACTTACAAAATGGAAAAAAAAAAAAAGTTCAGAACACACACCATTTTATTTAACAAAATGTTTAAAACATTCAGATGTTAGTAAAAATATATTCAACATATCAGATAAAAATAACAGTATGTTTGATTATGCTATGATTAAAAATCATGGAAATCTGCTTAATATAAATAATTATTAATTTAATAAGTTGGTTAATGTTGTATAAGACTTTCTTCTTCCTCATAAATTTCTAAGATAGCCCGCTGAATTTTTCTTTTAAGTTTTTTCTGTAAATATTCAGATGGAAGGTTTTGTAATTCACTAGCAATGAAATCCCCAAAAACACTATATTTGTTCTCCAGCTTTGATAAAACAGAACATGCTTTCACCACTTTATCAACTTCCCTTTCATATAAATCCTTCCACTCTGTTTGTTTTCTGCGTGAGGATTCATTTCCAATTTTACAATAAGGCACAGTTATATTAATTTCTGGATAATAATTCTTCAACATGGTCTGTGTGGTGTTCTGTGTTTTGTGCCCATCTAAGCTCTGAAACAAAAGTAATCATGCTAACATGCACTCTGAAACAAAGAAGATGTGAATAAGTGGAAATGTTTAAAACTGGGCTTGCTTGATTACATTCAGAATTAGAATACACTGTTATTGTAAAACGTCAAATGCTAATAATATTAGAGGAAGTCCACGAGAAAAAGTAAGTAAATACCAGGGACAGCTTCTACAAATACTGTTTTATTATAAGTAATTTTTTAAAATGAAAATCACAAAAGAAGGCTATTTGAATTGTAGGTGTATATTTAGTTCAGACCACAAATATGAAATAATTGTTTGAATAAATATATAACATTCAGTAGATCTGTTTTATTTTTGAAATGATAACTGCCAGAATTACAGGGTCCTGAGGCTCCTCTTTTCTCATGCCTTAACTAGCCGTGTTTGAAAGGATGATGATAAAAATAATAATAATTTTAAAATTACAATTTCTATCTTGTAAGGGGATATTTTTGAGCAATAATTATGTACGAATGCAATTAAGTATGCAATTGAATTTATTGGGAAGACATTGCTTTATATACTATCATTTCAAGGTGGACTAAAAAGATGAAAAATGTTCGTTTTTGTTAGTCTACAGTGCAACATAAATGGTTCATGCTTAGTGCAACACAATTGGGCCAGGTAATACACATAGTTTTAATAGTAAACACATAAAGGACAAAGGAAAGGCAGGCACCTCATGCATGTATTATACAATATTAATTAACACAAGTAACTGCAATAGTGCTTGTGTATCATAACAGTTTCTATTTGGGACAGGTGCAACATGTATCAATTTGTCACAACAAATCACAATAACTGAAGCTAGAGTTCATTTTCTTATTTCTTCCCTAAAAGATGCAAGATTCTTCCAATATTGTTGTGAATCAATATTTATTCACAACATATATTTAGTCAATTACAATCCAGTAATAACTAAAGCACTATGTGTAGTACTACATAGTAAATTATACCATCAATTTTAACCTTTTTGTCACATAAAAGGTAAGCAATATTTAACTTTACTCTTATAATAATAAATTAAGAACCACAAGTCTAATGAAACACATCATGTGTGGTTGGTGTTCCAAATTTATTATTTTTATTGTAGAAACTGGAAATATTTAATTATTCTGTACAACATGGTTAAGATCTTGTGAACAGAAATTTGTTGATAGTATACTTTTTTACCATAGTATATGTTTTTACCTTGCAGCTTTAATTTTGTTTTCATTATAGTTTCGGAGTTGCTTCTGTAGCCGTAACAATGTCGTGATTCTCCTTTTTGCTCTTTTTCTTTGAAGAAAATAATTTTTTAAAATTTCATTTCAAGGTAATGATATTTTTCAATCCTAGAAACTACTTTTTGTATGTAACTTTTTTATTTTCAGAAGCGGTGCACAACCTTTTGTCTCACAGCATGTCTTACTAGTTAACACATTCCATCACCCAAGAAAACAGTACAAACATTCAATAAGATGTAAAAACTCACGCGAACGGATATAGTTAGAACACCAGTAGAATCTGGAAGAGCTTCTTTGTCCAAAGGTTTAGCGGTGCGAAGTTCTCCAGTTTCAGGGTCCAAGAGGAAATAATTAAGAGGATCTGTAAGAAGGATTGATAACATTCAAGCCTAGTAAGTAATTATGAAAGTTGGGGATAACACATTGAGATCCCATTAACTAAACATTAAATTTCACAGAGAGATAGAAGAAAATCATGGAACTGTAACTTACTGGTCACGAGTTGATAAGTGATTTTTCGTGGCTTTCCCCGATCACCATCACGTGCTTGAACAGTCATTATTAAAGTTCCTATTGGTGCATCTTCATGTACTACACCTGCTAGAGAACCAATGAATACAGGTGGTGTATTCTGAACATCTTCCACGCGCAGTTCAAATGGTGTACGACTCTCGTGATTACCATCCTGCAAATGACCAACACTTATTAACAAAACCCTACATATGTGAAATCTGTTTAGTAAGAAAACTAGTAGACAATAATTCTAAACAAAACTAAAATGAGAAAATCTGATTTTATTAAGACTGATTATTTTGTATGTGGAGAAAAGTTTCTGAATTTTTTACCATTCTTTCATAATTACAATTTTCCCCAGATTGCTGTGGTCCCAACCCAATTCTTCAGGTTTTTATACTTTATGGTCCCCCACTACCAAATGGACTTTCTTTAATACAACCATTTGGGTGTATATTTATTATCGTTTTATTTAAACTTATAGCTTATGTACTTAAATAAAAGTAAAGGAAAATTAGTATTTTTACCCTGAGTTCATTGAACATAAATCAAATCTACCATCAGGATGGGTATCATCTCTTTCCTCCTTGGGAGAGAGAAACCAAAAATATTATTTTGGTTTCTCTCCATTTTTTCCATGAAATAATTTATTTCAACATCACCTCCCAATTGGTAGAAACATGGTAGAAATAACCACCGTGCATGATATATCCACCATGTATATATCCACCACAAAATATATGAACCTTATATACTTCATATGCTAACTAAAATATGATGGAACTATTCCAGACTCCTCATAAATTATGTGTTCATATTCACCGTCACTGATCAATTTGATATGGGTTTAAATGTGTGCAAATGCATGTATGCAAAATTACTTTCATGAAGAAATGGAAGATTATATATTTTGTCCAAGTACTTTTCAACGGCATAGCGGCCATACATGGACTGGTTGACTGCATGTCATGACTGCAAATGCTTACTAATAAATTACTGCCAAGCAGCTAAAAAGTATCGTATTTTGAGAAAATACAGACATGTCTCATTTAATTATGGGAATAAATGTCCTCACCCACAATTAGAACATGAGCATTTGATCTCCCAGCAACCCATTTGAAATTTGTATTGGACAAAGCAAGCTCTTGGCAAATTTTCTTGGGTTTCTCGTTTCCCTTGCCTCTCATTTTGCCATTCCTCCATCATCATTCATCTCACTATTATCATCTACTAGTTTTGTCATCCCTCACTGATTAACATGACCTTGGTGGTCCAAGAATCTTAAAAATCCGATCCATCAACCTATTGAACTTGTATCTAAATTCTTTAAAATGATCCACCAGTTCCAACGAGTTGATTACCGTGGCCACGAGCGACATCTGGTAGAACTGGCGCGCGGCGTAGTCGAGGGGCTGGCGCAGGACGATGGCGCCGTGGAAGGCGCGCTCGCTGGCGTTCAGGGCCACCACTTCGAACCTGGAGCACGCGCCGGGGAACTGCAAGACAGCAGAGGAGCGCTTTGCAGGTGGGCGGCCAAACGGCCGGTCGGTCGACCGGTCGCCGGGCGCCGCACGCCACCTTTCACCTTACCTGCTGCAAGTCGCTGCAGCTGACCTCCAACGTCTCGCCCACTTGGTCCAGGTCCTCCGCGAGGAGGTTGGGGTACACCGTGCTGCCCACCGGGGTGTCCTCCGGCACCGTCACTTCGTACGGCGTCTGCGCGCGACAAACGGACACTTCTCAGTAAGAAACACCTAAGTACTTCATTCGCGGACTAATCATTTGTGAACTAATTTCGGAAACTACTGTGTGCTTTAACTGTTGATCTTGATTTCCCAATGCGAAAGATCTTCAGATCGTTTCGAAAACAATAAAATCGTTGATGTGATTTCCTTCAATTACTGACTGGCTTCAGTCGTTTATGTAAATTGGGAAGAGTAGAAGCAATAAAGTCAAATCGTTCAGTGAAAAATCCAGATCTCCACTCGTGGAAAATCATGAAGACACGCGAAATCGAATTTCTAAAATGCCGTAACAAAGCCAGGCTGTGTCGATTAATAATTCGATGGACGCTAACGGTCATTGGAAGTATTAGAGGGCTCGATAAACTTCGCAGCTGGCACATGCCAAAGGAGACAACGCGTTAGATACCGTGACTTCTTTCAACGCTTATACTTGTACACAAACTGATCGACTTACATGTTTAGGAACAACGGGAACAGGAATTTCATTTTTATTTAAATACAAAGGAAACAATATTACAGTAGCTAAGGAACAAGCTGTCCTTTCATAATCGGTATTTAAACTGTTGTTGGCATGGGATTTTCTAGAAAGAAAATTTAATTTGATCATTTTATCATTTTTTCAGAGGTAAATTATAGCACTGAATTGAGGGTGCCTGACATCCGAAATCCTGTCCTGTATAAACGGCGCGTTATAAGCCGTTTTTTAAATTTATTTTTTCCTGTTCAGCATTCCCTCTTTTCAGGGTTTCTAAATACGCTTTCTATAACATTTAGAAGCACTGCTTTGTAGAAAGAGCTGCAAATTAATTTCAGTCGTCAGGATGTTTTATTATTATTATTATTATTATTATTATTATTATTATTATTATAATTATTATAATAATTATTATTACTACTACTGGCGTATGAGCCATTACTGACCACGCTACACGATTACCGTGTGTAATTCTTCCAGGATCAGCTTTTCAGCTGCATCCTTGGATTACAACAAGGTTGTTACGCCTTGTAGTGTGAATTATAAGATGAATGCTATGATGATGATAGGTGAAGGGACATTCACAAATATCACCATGTCTACGCAGGACTCGAACCTGCTCGAGCCTCCTCGGCACAGGCGACGGCTGCCGCAACCGTCTGCCCCACGGGGCCGACATTATTATTAATTATTATTATTATTATTATTATTATTATTATTATTATTATTATTATTATTATTATTATTATTTGTAAATGCAGCGTTTCCGTCCCGCAGATGAAACTGGGGCGGGGCGCACTCACCCCTCGGAAGACGGGCGGGTTGTCGTTCTCGTCGAGCACGATGACGGTGACGGGCACCTGCACGAGGTTGTTGTGGCCGCCGCCCTCCACCTCGTCCTCGAGCGTGACGAAGAAGCGCAGCGTGTCGTTCTGCTCGCGGTCGAGCGGGCGCGCCACGCGCACCTCGCCCGTCGCCGCGTCCACCTCGAAGCGGTCGGTGCCGGCCAGCCCGAAGCGCAGCGTCGAGTTCTCCGGGTCCGACCCTTCCAGCTGGAACACCACCGACCCCACGGCCGCCGCCTCCGACAGCACCAGCTGGTCCATGTCCTTGCTGAACGACGGCGGCCGGTTGCCCGCCGCGGGCGCTGCCAGACACACACAAACACAAGGCGCACGCGTTAGGCGGGCTGCGAGGGCTCTCGGGCGAGAGGAGGTCGCCTGTTACGTTCAGCTACACAATGCAAACAATCATTCACACTATGTCATCTATTTTTATTTTTTAAAAAAAGAATAGAATTTTGTAACGCACGAACTATATTTTTGACCATTGTTATTTCCAAACAGTTAGATAAGATTCAAATCACACTAGTGGTGCGTATGCGTTTTATTTAAGCCCTCGCAAAGGAAAAAAAAATCCATGAAACCTGATCACTCCCGTTCATGTTTAGACTGATTGATTGATTGATGAGCGATTCCGGTCGCGTCAACTACTAACGTCATTAGTCCCGTAAGTGTAGGGCATGTTGAGGGGGCGGTAGTCTTTCCCCGCTGGATGGAGAGATCCGGCATCGACTACCTGTCGGCTAGCGGGCTTTTTCCCAACCAGGTATCTCTCACCAGCGGATCACCGCCCCAGCCGGGGCAAGCTCTAAGCTCCCGACCAGTCACCCGGCATGCATGGTAGCGTAGTGCATGTAAATGTAGGTGTGTATAAGTAAGGGGTGAGGATAGGACAAGGAAGGGGAAGGAAAGACCTCGCCCGGTCCGTGGCGCGTTTGTTACGGTACTAATCCGGTATTCGCCTGGTGTTGATTGGATTCATATTTAGGAAATATTACATTTTTTGATGAGTGACATTAGTGACAAATGTGTGCCAAAGGCATTAATATACACTTCCATATAGGGGAAGGAATGATCTACACAATTAATTGTGGCGAGACGAGGATGAAGAATAAAAACTCTTTTCAGATGGACCCGTTCTTGGTCTATTACAAACGGACATTTCTACCCTGTGTGCGAGCTATGTTTCCTCCGAAATGGATTTTCTTGATTTGTCCGAGGTAAAAGAAGATAATTCTTACATAATTAAATAATATGTTGAATACTTCAACATCAATAATATTAAATTACATTAACTTCTATTCAACGTTTCACAAATAATCATGTCAAATTGTCTGCGATTTACTGCCAATTCAATACTACAAATCATCTACAATAAAGGGGCAATAATACTTTTTTGAATATTCGTCACATCCCTGCTATACCAATTGTTTGAGTGATTTTAAACAAAACAAGGATACCGTTGATCCCCTAACTACACCGAAGAAAAATCAAGAAAAATCTCCCGTAATCAAAACCGAACATCTTTCACTGACTTTTTTCTATGCATTCGCAAAGCCATGCGCCATATCCTTGTTTATTCCGACCGTTATTCATGTATTCGCGACGCTGCGGTGAAGAGCTCCGGCGAGGCGAGGCGAGGCGAGGCGAGGCGAGACGACATTTAACGGAGGCGCAAATCTCCCGGAGAAGTCTCGGCCCACCGCCTGCGACGTTCGCAAATTAACTTGCAAATCGCGGGCGGCAACAACAGCGCAGGCGGCGAGGCCTGCGGGAGGTGGAGGGAGGAGGGAGGTGGAGGGAGGAGGGAGGTGGAGGGAGGAGGGAGAGGGAGGGCGGGAGAGGAATCAGCTGGGGGAGGGGGCACGTCAACGACCAGGCATGAGTTGCGTGGAAGAAATTTGACAAATGAGCGCGTCTGGGATAATAGGAGGATATTTTGCGAACTGGCTTCAAGAGGTTGCCTGAAATGAAGTGCGAACATACGTTTTTGAAATTAATGCGAGAAGATAATCTTTCAAATGTTTTAAATAAAGGGATGGAACAATCGTTTATTCAAAGTAACACGCAGATAATTTGGGTTCATTAAAATACTTATTTGCTAGCTCCGTTGAAACTTTCTTGATGATATCACAACTTACGTGTACCTGACTTTTTCACCTGTTCCTAACGATTCATTCCATTGTGCGTGTTCGTAAGTGTGTGCAGACGAATAATAGTTTTCAATAGCGGAGTTAAGAAGCATTTACAAAACTACGATATGAATACAGAGACGCTAATTAAAAACTTAATTTTATTTAATGACATTACAGGTTGGAAACGGTACCTAATAATAGAAACATCATACCCATTTAACATAAAAATTTTCTTACGTGACTGAAAATGGCAACGAAAACATTAATGAACTTGATTGGTGAACGGCCGTTGTCTAAATAGTCTTCATAGAAAAAAATATGTAAAGCTGCGAGATTAAGACCTCATCAAGAGGCGGGATCAACGTAGCTCGTCCGACATATGAGGCGCTCCGACCGAGGATGCAGCAAAACCGAATGGAGCTGCGGTCGTGAAGAGTGGAAGTAGGGATTTCGGTGCCGGCGAGGGGCTCCACAGCCGGGGCGGAGGGCGCGAGGGCCAATATCGCGTTTCGGCGGCGTAATTGCACGGGGCAGCCCGGCGACGGGAGGCGGAGGGGGCGTAGGAGGTTCTGCGGAGGACCCCCCGCCCCCAACTCTCGCTTCCCGTCTCCTAGGTGCTGCTGCCTTTGCTTTCACTCATTTCCTCCGCATTGTGCGGCAGACATTGCCTTTTAGTGGCGACGACTTTTTCTGCTGCTCCCCCCATTCCGCTCCCAACGGTCGTCTCGACGCTTTCTCAGTCCCACTGATGACACCGTCATTTATGCACGTGACGTTGATGACATCTCATTCGTCGAGTCCTACATCTCCACTGACAGTCGCCGCTAGATTCGCCACCAGCAACTCCGCCCCTGTCACCTCGACCTCTGCTCTCAGCCCCGCACCGTTCCTTCGAATCTCGCTTCCTTTCTCTCGCCCTCACCAACTTTCTGATATGTCAGCACCCTCCCTCTCTCCGTCATGCCCTGCCTACATCAACTCGACTCAACCCGCTCCGCATCTCCGTCTCTTCCTGGCATCACAGCACTTCGGCCAAGACTCGCCGCCACGCCTCAGGTCCCATCGTCTCATCCCGCCTCTCCCACCCCATTTTGACTAGGATCGCCAAGTCCCTTCCCCGCCTCGTCTCGACGTGTGATTCCGACTCCTATCCACCCACACCATGCTCCTCCCTGCCTTGCCTCACCTCGACACTTCATCTCTTCCCTCCTCGCCCCAACCCACCTCGTCTGACCCCGCTCTGCTTCGTCGCAATCCTCCTCGCCTCGCCTCAACCTGTCCCACCTCGCCGCGCCCCTCCCCGCTTCACCCGCCGCCGCCGTCGCCGCCGCCGCCGCCTGCGCTGGCGATTACGCGGCTGCCCGCCGTCGTCCGAGTAATTTCCTCTGCCCGTAAATCTGATAGCGCCGCCGCCGCCGGCGCCACAGAGGAGGCCCGCCCGGCCCCGCTGGCGCCTCGCTCGGAGGCGAACGTCCCCGAGGCATTCAACGGAATTAACAGAAATAAACGCGGCACGGGCAAATACGAAAAAAAACGGCAGGATTAAAAGTTCAGAATGTAGATTGCGAAATTTAATTTACGATATTAAAATGCATAAATATTATATAAAATCACAGAATATCTGTGTCACATTTCTAAAAACTCGTGTAGATTGGTCGACTCGTGTAGATACTAGAAACTCGAGTAGATTTCTAAAAACTCGGTGCATATAAATCGTGTTTTCGAAAATTTACTGAGAATTCTCTAATCTCAGTTTTTTGCTAAGATCATTTTTATCTTTACTCTTTAAGCGTATTTATTAATGTTCTCACCATATTTAATAGAAATTGTTGGTCAGTTTAGTAAAATTCGCTTCATTTCGTGTAGTAGAAGTAGTAAAATAGTAGTTTATCTTATAGGGGGGCTAAAATAGTCCGCAGTAGGCAAGTTGATTATTCAAAATACTAGATGTAGCAAGACTGTATAATTACTTACGAGCACACATTTCAGCAATGTGTAATATTCGTCGTATATATTCATTTTTTCTAACCTCGTAAATACATGAATAATTAATTTTATGGTAAATAGTTCTGCTACTATCTGGATCCACGCAAGCATTCCGCATTTTGTATGTTCATTGTTTTAAACGTGAAAATATCTTCTTTTTGGTTCCTTACTTCGAACGGCGAGTCCCTTAACTGTGCGATACAGCTTTACACGCCCGATATTGTGGTGAGTAAACATTCTTACATTGCTAAGATGCTTCTATTAAATTCCATAGAAAATCAAACGGCCACGTTAATTTCATCGTGGAATGTTATTATTAGGCAAGATACGGAGTGGACGTCCTCAGTAGAGCTAAATCTCTAGTGTGATAGAAGGTTCAAATATACCGTATAGAAATGTGTCGTACTTCTTATGAAACATTTCTAGGAGCCCCTATCCCCGGTATTCCGCACGACCCCCGAGAATTCCCAACTGTCCAAAACTCATGTCCCCACACAACTAACCAGTCCCCTCAAAACGCGTGTATCTTCATAGACACACAAACCGGATTTAAAAGTCGTAGAATGAACCGTTGCCGAGTTATGGTCGATTTTAATGGGTGTGTCAGCAATTTGTTCTCTACGTGCAAATCTACTTTTTCGTCTAAAATCTTACAAATGCAGGAATGGAATGGAATTGACTATTCAACAGGCACACGTATACATGATTTTTTATAAATTGTTAACATTTAAAGTTATTGTCAACTATTCTTTGTTTATATAGGAATAATGTAAGTTTGGACATTGAGATCGGCAGTACCCCAAATAATAAGGAATATAACGATGCTTTATACTGCGACTTACATTGAACCTATTATGAACATGTAAGAAATCAACATATAAAGTTGATAATATTGTATAACAGTTATTTTTGACATTAGTGTAAATGTGACATTTTATTCTTCAAGGGGGGGGGGGTGTTACGACGTAAATGTCATAGGTCGTCAGGCGTTGGGCAATTTTTCGAGCAAAATAAAACCACTTTTACGTCGTGTGTAATATACAATTTTTTAAAGACAGCCTTACAGACTTTCACTTTATTTCAATTTAGGAATACAAATCACTTAATTGTGTACGATGTGACATTAAGTCAGAAGTAGACTGCCAGTTAAAAGACTGCCAAATAAAAGTTTCTTTGTTGCATTAACTCTGTTTTGTCTTAACATTCGAGCGTCTCACCTGTAGCACTAATGCTTAAAATTGAATTTTTAGCACTCTC